ATGACATATGATGTTGTAGTGCGTATTATAGTGTAACGGGGTGTAGTGACATATAGTGGCCAGTGTGTTACAACCGAATTCATGTAACAGAAACACAATATCTTAGCATAAACAAGTGACACAGCATCCCTCTACCACTACCACCGCCTACCACCCACTACCACCATCCACTACCACCACCTCTAGTTCCACGACCCATACCATCCACCTTCTCTAGTCCAAACCACCACCCACTACCCCTATCAATTACCACCATCATCCACAACCACCATCCACTACAACCACCACCCATCACCACACCATCATCCACCATACACTACCACCCACCACCACCACAACAACACTATCCAACACCATCATCCACATCATCCACTATCCACCCTCACACCTCGTCCACATACCACCACGACCTCTCACACGCCCCTCCACCTTCCACGAACAATAACAAGCATTCACTTTCATCACAATATACCTGAGTGAATTCCTCATCTAGATAGCCATGTTGGGGAGGATGGATACTTTACACTCTGTTATGTATATCGTATGTATAGTATAGTATGTATACCCTGATTGCATGTGTTATATAATCTGCTGAGGTTGTTTGTTAGTATTAATGAGGTTATTAAAAGGTTGTGGCAGGCTTTGTTATGGGTTATTAGGGTTGTATAGTTGAATATAGGTTTGTGTTCTTGTTCTCCATAACAACAATAACAACAACAATAACAACAATAACAACAACAATAACAACAATAACAACAACAACAACTAATTTGACTCAGGGGAATAAAGTTGAAGTGTGGCTGAGGAAGAGATTAATTAAGAAGAAGAAGAGAGGAGGAGAAGAGAAGGAGGAGGAGAAGAGAGGAAGCTACTGAAGACCAATATATTAAGTCTATCAGTGAGATACAACAGCAGTGATGGACTCGAGATTGTCTCACTTCTCACTGATGAAACTTGAGAGAGAGCCTTGTGAGAGATAATGAGACTAAGAGGGAAGAGAAGAGAGACCTGATGAAGGGAGACCTGATAGGGACCTGATGGAGACCTGATGGAGACCTGATGGAGACCTGATGGGAACCTGATGGGAACCTGATGGAAGTCACTGTTAGAGTCAGTTCATAAATTGAACACACGCAAACACATATATATTCACACACACACACTAGATGGTGAGTCATAGTGTGTGTGTGTGTGTGTGTGTGTGTGTGTGTGTTTGAGTGCATATGCCTGTATGTATGTGTGTACTTAAAAATTAACAACACAGTCAAAACACTAATTAAATTATTCCTAATTTACAAAACGTCAACACAAACTAATTTCCTTAATGAGACCAGTCCTTCAGGTGCTTATTGTTTAATCTCCTTAATAACATTTAATTAGTATAATTCAGGTAACTCCAAGGTAGAAGAAAATTACTCAAATTATCACATAAACTTTTGGGGAGATTCTTGGAGTGTAATTTTGTTTTGTTTATGATTAATGTCAGTCTAGATCAAACCTCTACCTGGTCTCTGTGTGTTAATTGCTTTACTTACCTGGATGGTGTTATTATTATTATTATTATTATTATTATTATTATTATTATTATTATTATTATTATTTTTATTATCATTATTATTGTTGTTGTTCTCATTTTATTATTATTATCACTTTTAGTATTAGTATTATCAAAGCATTATAATTGAGATGGTAAGTCTAATAATGTTAACTAGTAAAACCTCTACTCAGCCACGACTCTCTCTCTCTCTCTCTCTCTCTCTCTCTCACACCATAACACCTTACGCCTGAAGGTAAGGGAGGGAGGCGGCCCACGCTACTCCTAATTATTAATCACATCAATTTGCTTTCCCCAACAATTTCGGATAATTTTCTGACTGTATTAAATTTCCAGCGAAGAATAATTGATTTACGTAGTCAATATAGAGTTTATTTTTCATCCGGGGATTGAAAATGAAAATACGCTGGATAAACTTTTCATTCCTGTATTATTAGCTTCCTGGGTAGAGTCTGGTTTACATCACTACTGGCAGATACGAGAGATTACCAACTGGTATTATTTTAATAGTATTATTTTAATAGACTATTGAGTATATTGATGTTATGATACTCTTATTTCTCAATAATTATGGTCTATAAGGATGCACTAACGTTAGTAATTATACTATTCCATTAACTGTTAAAAGTTATGAGAAATACAACTCACAACTCACAAGTCTCTCTCTTTTGAGTATTCTAATGTGTTTTGTGTGTTAGCTTTATACTGTGTTGCGTATAGTGAGTGTTAGACGGGCTACAGGCGATGACTGTCTATATTAAGCACCTATTATTGACGGGTACTGTCTACTCTCATTATAAATATAAATAAACAACAACAACAACAACAATAATAATAATAATAATAATAATAATAATAATAATAATAATAATGATAATAATAATAATAATAATAACGTGTACAATATATAAAATAAATAATAACAAAAGCAGGAGGAATAGAAGACGATATCTACTCACTCTCCATGCCTCTTGGCTTCACTGTACCCGCAGCTAAAGGCTTAATAATAATATAAGAATGGTGGAAACTGCAGCGGGCATATTGATCCATACTTGGCCTTCCTATTTACATACTTTTTGGACAATATATTACTGAATGTGCCACCTGGCTTATTGTATCATGAACTATGTAATTACTACATTGAATCAGGAGTGCTTGATGATATTCTGTCAATTTATTCTACGTTTGCTAGTCCACACTGATTAGTCTCTGTAATGACACTAATGAATATGACCCACTTTGTTATCGCCTCTTGTGTATGAACCTCTGTCCTCTGTGGCAGTGATCAGTGATGGTAGCCTCAGTGCTTAAACTATCCAACTGGGAGCGAACTAATAGCAATGTTTTTAAAGTATATACAAATTAAGATTTAAGCGTGAGATAGGTAAACACTGGCTTGGAAATAAGAGTTGTGGATGAGTGGAAAACAAGTTACAAAACATCATCATTAACTCGAACACGCTGGGATGCTTCAAATATAGGTTGGACGGATATATCAGTGATGTGAGTTGGGTGTAAACGGGGCCGAATATCACAAAGTTTACATGCTGAGTGTTCCGGTGTGGTGACAGCATTGCAAACTTGTCTCATATGTGCCTGTATCCTAGCTGGCAGTCTTCCTCCAACACTGACAGTCTTCCTCCAACACTGACAGTCTTCCTCCAACACTGACAGTCTTCCTCCAACACCGACAGTCTTCCTCCAACACTGACAGTCTTCCTCCAACACTGACAGTCTTCCTCCAACACTGACAGTCTTCCTCCAACACCGACAGTCTTCCTCCAACACTGATAGTCTTCCTCCAACACTGACAGTCTTCCTCCAACACTGACAGTCTTCTTCCAACACTGATAGTCTTCCTCCAACACTGACAGTCTTCCTCCAACACTGATAGTCTTCCTCCAACTGACAGTCTTCCTCAACACTAACCCAGTCTTCCTTCAACACTGACAGTCTTCCTCCAGCTTACTGACAGTCTTCCTCCAACACCTGGCGATTAACTTCCTTCAACTTACTGACAGTCTTCCTCCAACACTGACAGTCTTCCTCCAACACTGACAGTCTTCCTTCAACACTGACAGTCTTCCTCCAACACTGACAGTCTTCCTCCAACACTGACAGTCTTCCTTCAACACTGATAGTCTTCCTCCAACACTGACAGTCTTCCTCCAACACTGACAGTCTTCCTCCAACACCGACACACAATAAAGTCGTCTTCCAAGAACCAACACGACAAATCAAATAAAACTTTTTTCCACCTCAAGACCCACGTCAATATAACCTGGATATTACGGCTCCTGTTATACAGTAGAATGACACATATGGGGAGCTAGTGTGTGTCAGGTGTGTCAGATGTGTCAGTTGTGTCAGGTGTGTAAGGTATGTCAGATGTGTCAGGTGTGTCAGATGTGTTAGGTGTGCCTGGTGTGTCAGATGTGTGAGGTGTGTCAGGTGTATCAGATGTGTGAGGTGTGTGAGGTGTGTCAGATGTGTGAGGTGTGTTAGGTGTGTTGGATGTTAAGGCAAGGATGACCAGAGCTACATTAACCACCAGTATAGACAGTTATAACCACTAGAGCTACATTAACCACCAGTATAGACAGTTATAACCACCACTAGAGCTACATTAACCACCAATATAGACAGTTATAACCACTAGAGCTACATTAACCACCAGTATAGACAGTTATAACCACTAGAGCTACATTAACCACCAATATAGACAGTTATAACCACCACTAGAGCTACATTAACCACCAATATAGACAGTTATAACCACCACTAGAGCTTCATTAACCACCAATATAGACAGTTATAACCACTAGAGCTCCACATTAACCACCAGTATAGACAGTTATAACACCACTGAAACTTCATTAACCACCAATATAGACAGTTATAACCACTAGAGCTACATTAACCACCAATATAGACAGTTATAACCACTAGAGCTACATTAACCACCAATATGAACAGTTATAACCACTAGAGCTACATTAACCACCAGTATAGACAGTTATAACCACTAGAGCTACATTAACCACCAATATAGATAGTTATAACCACCACTAGAGCTACATTAACCACCAATATAGACACAACTAATTCCTGATGGACATACTACACAATATCGTCCACACTACACAGGTTCATTATCACGCTCTGTTGACGATATAGCGAACCTTCGTTATTGCTCTCGTTATTGCCTCTCTCTTTCATCCTAAATATCTCAGTTAGGTGGAGTTAATTGCTATGTAACCTTTAATTAACACTCGTGTCATCTATATAGGATACTGTGGCAATGTGTTAGTTGGGAGAGAGAGAGAGAGAGAGAGAGAGAGAGAGATAAGTTTAATTGGTTACATGTTATGTGTTATGGTCTCTCTCTCTCTTTTCCAAAAATGTATGCATAACTTACGTGAAACTTTATAATTGTCAGTAATAGATGCAGGTTGATGGCTATTCCTTTGAGAAAATTATGACTTCTAACTCAATCTCGGGGCAAGATAGTTCGATCCTCTCTGAAGATGTGTCTGTAAGGGTTGAAATACAGTACATGTTAAAGAGTTAAAAGTACACATATGATGATGTTAACTTTTTTAGGTTAGGTTATGTTATGTTATGTTAAGTTAGATTCGGTTAGCATTAGGTTAAGTTACGTTAGGTTAGATTCTGTAAGCATTAGGTTAGTTTAAGTTAGGTTCGGTTAATATTAGGTTAAGTTCGATTAGATTCCGTTACCAGTAGGTTAGGTTAAGTTAGAATGAGAAAAGGTGGGTTAGATTAGGAAATGGTAGGTTAGGTTAGCGTTAGGATGGTTTATTTTCATGTAATTCGTTTTTATTATCAGTTCACTTATAAAAAAAGGACAAGATCGCGTGTACAAGTTAGCACAGCCGTGTAAATTCCTCCATTATAAAACTTAAACAAGGAAGTGAACTCAGCCTCCAAACATCCAGAGTACTTGGTGACGGCTGCAGCAGTGTTGACAAAAACAGGTGTTGTGGTGTTGCAGGTAAACTCCTTCTCAAGTATGTTAAGTATGATGGACACAGATTACCACCTCCCCCGGCTTGTGTTAGCCTACACACTAGTCACACACTTTACGACGCTGGCATAATAAGCTCTCTCTCGTCTTATGAAGAGTCAACATAGGATTTACATCACACACACACACACACACACACACACACACACACACACACACACACACACACGCACCACCTATGCTAAATCTTGTTACTGGGACAAATAAAATATTGCGCTGCCGATACAACTCTTAAAGTAGCTGTGTCTGGTGTGGCTATACTTGATGTGGCTATACTTGATGTGGCTATACTTGATGTGGCTATACTTCATGTGGCTATACTTCATGTGGCTATACTTCATGTGGCTATATTTCATGTGGCTATACTTCTTGGTATCTTTGTTTCTTCATGGTATTCATTTCTCGTGGCTATACTTGATGTGGCTATACTTGATGTGGCTATACTTCGTGGCTATACTTCATGTGGCTATACTTCATGTGGCTATACTTCATGTGGCTATATTTCATGTGGCTATACTTCATGTGGCTATACCTGCTGTGGCTATACCTGCTGTGGCTATACCTGCTGTGGCTATACTTGATGTGGCTATACCTGCTGTGGCTATATTTTCATCTCCGAGAATTCCATCAGACTTTAAACTTCCAATTATCATTATGACTTATTGGCATAAAAATTGCAACAGGTATCAGTAAATTAAAATATTTATACAGGTATAAAGAGATAATTAAAAGTTCAGGTAATTATTTTAATCATCATTAGTGAATATTGATGATAAATAAACGATACAATAATCCAATTAATATCGGGATCACCTGAACATTAGTCACTCTAGCTTATTTCACCTGATGATTAAGATATTCTAACACTACATGGGGCTTAGGTTAAGTTAGGTTAGGTTAGGTTAGGTTAGGTTAGGTTAAGTTAGGTTAGGCTAGGTTAGGTTAGGTTAGGCTAGGTTAGGTTAATCTTGTAGTGAAAAAAAACTAGGGTGGCTAATCTTCAGGTGATCTTAGTACCATCACATACAGTACATATAAATCCCACTGAAATATCTTAAAATAAACATAAGAAAAATCTATGATAACCACTAACGAACCCACACCACTGTTACGTCCAGATCTGAGTGTGTTTACATTTTACGGTCGTTTACACTCCCGTACCTAATTAAGGTATTGACACAACCGAACGCGGGAAGTAAGGAGGCGGGAGGAGGAAAACACAATCTCTTCAAGAAGGTCACTTGACTGCAGAATGTAAACAAAAATCCAGGCTTTTGGTTCCTTAAATATTCTCTACACTATACAGTAAGACACATAAGTAGCTACGTCTAGTACAAGTAGCTACGTCGAGGCACAATAACCACGTGAGGTATTGTTTGTGTGTGTGTGTGTGTGTGTGACTGTTCCTCGAGTTGAAGAGCTTAAGCTTCTTCCCGCCGCCCTGGAGGAGGAGTTTACGTTCGTGTATGTGAATGATAAGATTCTCGGAGGTCTTGTGAGTATTTGGGGAAGAATCCAAACTTTAATGATTATTTAACTTCTGCTGACTCGAACATTTTCTGAAGGTGAAGGAAGAGGAGGAACTTGGCTCTTGAGGAAAACGCATTTACATTTCACATTACAACCTGAAGGAGGATAATTACAACCTGAAGGAGGATAATTACAACCTGAAGGAGGATAATTACAACCTGAAGGACGATAATTACAGCCTGAAGGACGATAATTACAACCTAAAGGAGGATAATTACAACCTGAAGGAGGATAATTACAACCTGAAGGAGGATAATTACAACCTGAAGGAGGATAATTACAACCTGAAGGAGGATAATTACAACCTGAAGGACGATAATTACAGCCTGAAGGACGATAATTACAACCTAAAGGAGGATAATTACAACCTGAAGGAGGAGAAATACAACCTGAAGGAGGACAATTATAACCTAAAGGAGGATAATTAAAACCTGAAGGAGAAGAAAAAGATTATCACAGTTAACGTCTCTACTCGAGGACGTGAATCAAACATAAAATTGACGAATTATGAGAAAAAAGCAAAAAAAAAAAAAAAATAGAAAAAAAAATATATATTGCAATTAGTAACGAGGAAATTGTTTAGGAAATCCAGAATATTTGAGAGGTAAATATGACCGTCCTGGGATTAAAAACTCCTTACCAATTTACGATGAAGTTATTTGAGGATCATTTATGCATACGACATTAATAACTACTTAAACCTAAACCTAACTACTGCACACGAATCACCATCACCTGACTCATTAGTGAAACAGGTGATGGTTGATGTTATAATGTAATACTTTATTTTATTACTACATATATTACTTTTACTTTAGTCGTCAATAATAACAGCACATTACAACTCTCTAGAAGTAGGTGTTAATAGTCCTGCCAACAGCTGCCAACATTTCCATCGTCAAAGACTGGACTGTGTTGTAGGAGAGAGAGAGCTAAGGGGACTAGGAGAGGAGAGAGAGACAGAGGTGGTTGAAAGGAGCTAAAGAAAGAGTGAGAATATTGATATTGGTAGGGAGGAAGAGAGCAAGAGAGAGAGAGGGTGGTGAAAGGGAGGAAGAGAGAGAAAAAGAAAGAGAGAGGGAGAGAGAGCCACAAGGGTTCACCAGAAGGTACAATTTTACTCACACAGTTTCTACGGATTTTATTCTGGCCAAAGAAATCTTTGTAATCTGAGGCTGACTGTAAAATCTGACCACACACACACACACACAAACAACACACACACACACACACACACACACACACACACACACACACACAAACACACACACACACACACACACACACACACACACACAAACAAGCACACACACGCACACACACACACAAACACACACACACACACAAACACACACACACACACGACTACGTTTATATGTTTTATTATCCTAATTTATAGATTAGTTATGAGATGAATAATAATAATAAGAATAATAACAGTGACAACAACAACAACAACAACAACAACAACAACAACAACAACAACAACAACAACAACAACAACAACAACAACAACAACAACAACAACAACAACAACAACAACAACAACAACAACAACAACAACAATAATAATAATAATAATAATAATAATAATAATAATAATAATAATAATAATAAAGACAACAACACTAACAAAAACAACAACAACAACAATAATAACACTAATATAATGGTACTAATACAATGAAATAATAAAACCCTCTTTAATAAATAACAAATAAACCAAATTTACCTTCCACACGTTAAAAAACAAAAACAGTACTTAAAGTCAACACAAAACCACAACATAAAAAAAAAACGTAAACCAAGGAAGCAAAACTCAAGTGGTAAGGAACACACCCACGTCGACCAACCACACAAAATAATCTACCAAACCAACATCATGTATGTGTTCACCAGAATATTGCTGCTACTTCAACCACCCATAAGTCTAAGGCTTGTGTTGGAAATATGTGAGCCTTTACACAGCGTCTGGACGAGTGAGTGGGACGGTCAACACAGCCATGATATTACGCGCATAAACGTCCCGGGGAAATGTTTGCTGGAAGGCTATCATGTTCTGAGCCTTACTGAGGAGGCGACTAGCTTAAGCCTCAGCGTCTACAGGAGTCGGAATTATTACGGATGGGGGGATGGCTTGGTGGTGTTATGTTATGGGGGATGGTATGGTGGTGTTATGGGGGATGGTAGTGTTATGGGGAAGGTATGGTAGTGTTATGGGGAAGGGGTGGTAGTGTTATGGGGAAGGTGTGGTAGTGTTATGGGGAAGGATGTATAGTACATGGGGGGAATAGTATGGTGTTAAGGAGGGATGGTAGTGTTATGGGGAAGGCATGGTGGCAAGCAGGGGGGGATGTGTGCTGGTAGTTATGGGGATGCAGAAAGTTATGGGGAAGGCATGGTGGTGTTATGGGAAGGGCATGTGAAGCTATGGGGTAGTAGTGCTATGGGGGAAGGCGTAGAAAGTTATGGGGGAGTATGGTATGTTAAGGAGGATGGTAGTGTTAAGGGGGGCATGGTATGTTATGGGGGATGGCATGGTGGTGTTATGGGGATGCAGGTGTTATGGGGGTGGTATGTTATGGGGAATAGCATAGAAAGGGGTTATGGGGAAGGCATAGAAAGGTTATGGGGAAGCTGTATGGTAGTGTTATGGGATTGCATGGTAGTGTTATGGGGGGAGAGAAAGGAGTGGGGAATAAGTACAGAAAGGTTGGTGGGAATGCATGCAGAAAGTTATAAAGGTGCATGTATAGTGTTAAGGGGGAATATGGTAGCAAGTTATGGGGCGGTAGCAATATGGGGAATAAGCATGGTAGTTATGGGAAGTCAAAGGTATAGTACATGGGGGAAGTCAGTATGGCAGTGTTATGGGGGAATAGTATGGTATAGTTATGGGGGATGCAGTGTTATGGGGTTTGGCTTTTATGGTGTTTACTGGGGGTGGTAGTGTTATGGGAAGGTATGAAGGTTATGGGGGAAGCTGCAGTGTTATGGGGGTATGGTAGTGCTATGTGGGGGGGCTGCGGCAGAAAAGTTATGGGGGAATAAGTATAGCATATGGGGACAGTAGTGTTATGGGGAATACACAGGTGTTAAGGGGAAGGTATAAAATAACGAGGGTGGTAGTGTTATGGGGAAGGTATGGTAGTGTTATGGGGAAGGTATGGTAGTGTTATGGGGTTGGTATGGTAGTGTTATGGGGAAGGCATGGTAGTGTTATGGGGAAGGTATGGTAGTGTTATGAGGGAAGGTATGGTAGTGTTATTTAACGTGTGTTTGTTTGGTGACGTGTGTCGTAGCGTGTATCTTAGGACAGTCACATACTCTCAAACTAAAATATTCTGTTATTTCATCAGTAAAGGTTTAACCAACGTAACTAACACACAGACGTCACTACCACGTCAGAAATAATGCAATTAAACTTTAAATTTGATATCAGTGTCTGTGTTATAATTAAATAGTAAACGTCGGAGAGCAAAACACTTTCTTGAATGTTTAAAATGAATAATATAAATTTAATTCCTCGTGTAGTCATGAAAAATATACATTGGGAATTATTTTTTTTTACACCCACGGGATATATTGTTACGCTCGCTAAGACTAATGATCATTACAGGCGAACAATAACAGCTTAAGGGGATAACAAGAGGTTGTTTTTGTCATTGTTACTTGATGTCTGGATTTAGTGGGATACAGTTAAAAGTTTGTCCGAGTGTTTATGTCAGGTTTAAGTCAGCTTACCAGACCTCTACTGAATACTGTTGTGGTACTTTCTTTTGTCCTGTACACACACACACACACACACACACACACACACACACACACGAGAGAGAGAGAGAGAGAGAGTGAGAGGAGAGGAGAGAGAGAGAGAGAGAGAGAGAGAGAGAGAGAGAGAGAGAGAGAGAGAATTTTTACTTCCACCTGGTCTCGATCGTCAGCAAAAAAAAAAAGAGCCTTCCAACCTTGACTAAAGCGCCATTGAGTTTAAGTGAAGAGGTGTGCCAAAAAACCCCACCTTTATTCACCTTGATGACTTGATATCGCTAGTGAGATCTAGTGAGGTGGTGTGACATTTTAATCACGATTGAGAGTGAACGGATCTTTTGCGACATTAATGAGTGAGTGTGTGTGAGAGTGAATTAGTGAGTGTGTGTGAGAGTGAATGAGTGAGTATGTGTGTGAGAGTGAATGAGAGTGAAGAAACGCATCAGTAGTGAAGTGTTTTGGCAGGAAGGAGTTTCTTGTCAAGTAGATTGGGGGGTGGAGGAAGGTGGGAGGAAGATGTGGAGGAGAGAAGGTGAAGGATGGGAGGGTGAGAGGGGAAGAGGGGGAGGGGAGAGGGGGGAGAGGGGGAGGGAGGGGTGAGAGGGGAGAGGAGGGAGAGGGTGAGAGGGGGAGAGGGGAGAGAGGGGTGAGAGGGGAGGGAGAGGAGAGGGTGGAGGGAGGGGGAGGGGAGAGGGTGAGGAGGGGGAGAGGGGAGGGAGAGGGTGAGAGGGGGGAGAGGAGAGGAGTTGGTGTCCTATATAAGCACAGCGAATATCACCCCAGAAATAAGACTTGTCACTAACATGTCCTGACTGTTCCTGACATTTTAATTTACCACCAAATACGATCGGCGTTTACTCTGTTTTGTTAAGGTGTAGCGCTGACGAGACGGGGAGGACAGGGGTGTGTTGTGTTGTGTGTGTGTGTGTGTGTGTTTGTGTGTGTGTGTGTGTGTGTGCAGGAGGTTCATGGTATTATGTTTATCCTTTAAGAGTGCTGGAAAGTTTGCTTCTTTTCTGAGGCTTAACAAAGTCTTATATAAACCAGGCACTAAGTCTCCCGTCCACACACACACACACACACACACACACACACACACACACACACACACACACACACTGTAATAATTGGTATTAATAATGAAAATAAAGCTGATAATGATAGTGTCGAGAGAAACAAAAATAGTGAGGATGATAGTGAGAGTGAAAATAGAAAATGATAACATGAAATTATCCTCGCAATATAATTATAGACAGTCTAACATACATACAAATTATATGTAACTCATAACATTAACTACCATCTAAATATAATCTAAAATTATTGACTCGTACGATAAGAGTTATACTGTAGATCCGTCACGTATAAACTAATTCAATGGAAATTATTCTCCAATTATTCTCCACCAATAATCTAAAACGATAATTCCACAAACACGAGCAGAATGTGTTTGATCCGACAACAAAATATGTTTGGATGATAGATTGGAAATTGGGGGGAAAAAAAGGATAACCAACTTGTGTCATCATTTTTAATTAAAGTTTATTCAGGTGGTTAATACTATGACACACACACATAGATACGTACATATATATAACATGCAGTGCGACGCCTGCTTTGGGAGATGTGTCTGACAATTATTTAAAACTTGTGTAAATAT